CGAAACGGATTTCTGGCTACATGACGCTCCCAACACTGGCCCTTGGGACAGGAACCAAGGTTTCTTCCATATTTGTAGAGAACAAAGGCATCTGTGCGTTACTCTGATCATACGAAACGGATTCCCCTTGGGAGAAAACCCCTTGGCTTTTAGCCACCACTGAAGGGGCCTCATATGTAGAAGGCCCAAAGGTATAATGTTGGATCTCGCTGCCATGAGGCCCAGCATTCTTTGAAATTGCTTCACAGTGATGGCCTGACCTAGCTTTACTCCTGAAACCATATTTAGGATGGACTGTACCCGTGCGGGAGACATGTGTGCCCGCATCGTAATCGAATTCCATACCACACCCAGAAACGTTGTTTCCTGAGCTGGTTCCAACACGCTCTTTTTCGTGTTGAGTCTCAACCCCAAATTCTGAATGTGGCTAAGGACGACATCTCGATGCCGAACTGCCATTTCCCAAGACTGAGCCAATATAAGCCAGTCGTCGATATAATTCAGTATACGAATGCCCTGGAGTCTGAGAGGAGCCAGAGCTGCATCCAAACACTTCGTGAACGTGCGGGGAGAGAGTGCTAGGCCAAACGGAAAAACCCGATATTGATATGCTTCGCCCCCGAAAGCAAACCTTAGGTACCTCCTATGACATGGAAGGATGGAGACATGAAAATAGGCGTCTTTTAGGTCTATTGTGACAAACCAGTTCTCGGACCTGATTTGGTTCACAATGACGGGAATCGTCAGCATCTTGAACCTGAAACTCCTCAGAGACTGATTCAAGTACCTCAAGTCCAAAATTGGCCTGAGCCCGCCATCCTTCTTTGGAACTATAAAGTATCGGCTGTAAAACCCTGACTCTCTGGTAGGGGAACACATTCTATGGCCCCTTTGACCAGTAGAGCCTGTACTTCTTGTTCCATAACCCGAGCCTGTTCTGGGACCACTGTAGTCGGTACCACCCCTGCAAACCTGGGAGGTTGGTGATCGAACTGCAGTCTGTACCCTTTTTCTATTATATTCAGGACCCATATAGAAATATTTGGAAGAAGGCGCCACCACTCCAAAAAATGTACTAAGGGAACCAGCCTCTCGAGGCTGGCCTCGGGTGTTTCTCGAGCACTGTTCTCGACCTTCTGAAGCAACGAACTGGCAGAAAGCGGACGAGAATGATTTTTCGACCATAGGTGGTGCTCTTTTGTAAGCTCTTGGGGCGAGTGCCACGGTGTGCGTTCGCTGGAAATTGATGCGACCCGAAGCGTCAGTGACGGCGGGACAACATCTTTTTCCGAAGGGCTCCGCTGGGAAAACAACCTCGGTTGCCTCACAGCGGGGGGGACAGCGCTCAGAGGTCCTATTACTCTGGCTAGGACCTCTTTCCTGTAGCCCTCTTAGCCTGAATGACGGCCCTCAGGTCGCCCTTCTGGCCAGAGGATTTAGAATGAGAGCGTTTTCTCTGTTGCCAATCTCCCGTAGGAGGGGCTCGAGAGGAAACGCTCTCCTTTTGCTCCAGGCGATGAGAGGAGCTGGCTGACGGCTGAGACTGGCCACTTGGACCAGCCCTCCCAGATCTAGACCGGCGGGGAAGGTACTGCTGAAAAGCTGCCGACTGTTTTTTCGCCTCCTGAAACCTGTCGACGACAGTAGATACTGCGTTGCCGAACAGGCCAGAAGGCGATATCGGAGCATCTAATAAAAAGGAACGATCTTTATCTTTCTTGCCCGATAAATTTAACCACAGATGCCTCTCCGTGGCCACCAAAGCTGACATGGAGCGGCCAATAGCACGAGCCGTCTCCTTAGTGGCACGGAGAGATAAATCTGCGGCTCTTCTTAGCTCAGCAATATCAGCAGGTGTCGGTCCCTCCCCCTCATCTAGATCTTTGAGAATATCGGCTTGGTACGCCTGCAAAATAGCCATCGAGTGCAGGGACGCACCAGCCTGACCAGCCGCCATATACGCCCTGCTCACCAATGCAGAGGTGTCCCTACATGGTTTGCTGGGCAGCGCCGGGCTTTAAGCGAGGATGCCGCTTCGGGAGAAAGATAGCTCGCTAAAGCTTCCTCCACACGCGGCATCCTCGCACCCACAACATTACTATAATCACACGATGTATTATGTGAGATGCGAGACGAGTGGGGCTTTCCCAGGATCTAACTATCTCTTTATGGAGATCTGGGAAAAAAGGCAAGCCCCGGCGCTGAGGTTGTAAACGGTGCCGCAGGAATCTCTCGTCTAATTTACTCTGACGAGATTCCTCCTGCTTATCTTGTGGCCAGCTGATGTTGAGTCTAGCCACAGCACGCGTTACAACCTCCACCAGTTCCTCATAAGCGGGAACATGAGCTGGCGAGTGTGACTCATGTTCCGCACTCCCGATGCTGAGCACATCCACTTCCTCAGAAGCAGACAACTCAAGCACCGGGCACTCGTCACGGGCAGAAGAAGCCGCAGCGCGGGCTTCTGCACCATGAGCGAGCGTTATAGAATCTGCAGATGACGAACGAGAAAGTGCCTCGGCAGTCTCATTCTCATCTGCTAGATCCTTCTGCGATCCCCACGATCTAAGCCTCCGCGCCACCTCAAAGGACACAGGACCTGAACCGCAAGGATTGTGAGCTTGGCCATCTTTAGAAAAAATAGCCAAGCGGGAGCGCAGCATTCTTAGTGGGAGTGCTTCAGAGGGCTCACAGGCAGCTCCCTCGAGAGCTGCCTGTGCGTGCTGCACTCCCAAACAATCTACACATAACGTGTCCCCACCCGGATGCGTGTCCCCACCCGTAATAAATCTAGGACAGGGGTGCACACATCTTGTAAATTGTTCACTCGCCATACTTTCAAAGGACAGACAACAATAAATGGGACAGACAGTTTCAACATAGAGCGCTTGCTGAAGAGCGATAGCTGGTATGTGTGTTTCAGCGTCACCTTTATACTTTCTGTATGCCGTCACATGTTACGTCAGGACGCAACGCCAATCAGGATTGGAATAATTTCATTCTTACTTCAGAGGTGCACGCTAAGGGAGCGTCCCCAAAGTGTAGAGTTCTTGACGCAGTGTTGAGTTCCCTCGAAAGGGAACAACAATACTGCACATTTGTGATCTGTTCTCCCGATTTAATTTACGCCATATCGCATGAATAATTCACTGGAATGCTCCTAGTATCTCCCATTTTCCTCCCCAAATCCTCACGTCCCAGAGTCCCCCCCCCTCCGTCCCCCACTCAACTCAGCCCAGCTTACTGACCTCTACATCCCTCCTTCTGCTGAGACCTAACCACAATCTCACAATCTCCGCAAACCAACCATACGCGCCAACCCGTTGACTAAGGCTGTCGAGCCCCACTGGTGCGTTAATATGCAGTTTCAGTGGCAACGGTTCCGTATGGCATACCACCTACCGCAAAACACAATATCTGCCCAACTACCCGTCATTCACGCAATATCCACAGGAACATATACAAATAAACCAACAGACTCTTCAATGAGTCTTCAACTCAATTCCAATGAGCTGAAGATCTGAATCAGGTGTGTTAGATGAGGGAGAAATGCAAAATGTGCCAAGGTGGGGTCCCTAGGACACATTTGAAAACCTCTGCCTTAATGCAACAATTGGTGTATCGTGTGGTGGTTAGTACTGAGTGCACAGTGATGGAGATTCAGTGATATTGGGGATTCAGTGAGAGTGTGTGTAGGGCTTTCTTCCATTCCACGAACTCCACAAACAGCCTCACGGGTACGGACGATGTGGTCAGCTCCAGAACCTGCTGTGAGAACCGTTCTGTTCTGTGAGGCTTGGGCTCCGGGGCGATAGGGGGCTTAGTCCTCTTATCTGGTAGCTTTGGGCTCTCCATCTGCAGTGGGCTCTGGCGTTAGTTACAAATATTTTAATTCGTGGTTTAATAGGAGGGAGAATCATGTCAATACCCAGCTAGGAAAAATGATAAAACCAGGAACTGTAAATAAATTACTGAACAAAATACTACAAAAAAAGAAAATAAAAAAACGTTAACGTTAAAAAAGTTAACTTTAAATTAACTTAAGTTTAACTTAAAGTTAAAGTTTGATTAATATGGACATTTAAGTTTAAAAAAATACAAATTTAAAAACAAATGTTATATAAAAGGGTATGGAATCATATTTTTTTCAAGTGCTTTTTATTAGGAGAGTGTGGTGCTGGGGGCCTCCAGCATACATGTTGCATAGGCCCTCCAAATGTCTAGAACCGGCCCTGTAAACTATGGGCTTAAATACACAGGGGAGTAATCAACAGAACAGAGAACAGGTGTGTGAATTAATTAGGAACTATGAAAACTAATAAGCTCAGGGAACACATGCAAACTAGAGCAGGGAAAACCGAACCAAAACACAATGAAACTAAACAGAAATAAACATACACCTTTTGTGAGGTAATTTTCAAAACACACACATGCACACATACATACACAGAGAGAGAGAGAGAACGAGAAAATGACAATTAAATGAATCTGTTGTACTTTTGGAGAAGCTTTTGTTTTCTAATAAACAATTTAGATCAAATTATAGCTTGATAAAGTTTGTACCAAGCTACATTTGCCAAATACTGTAAGTAGATGAACTATCTACTTTAATTGAGCTATATATTTCAGCTTAGTTTAGGTATAATGTTTCTATAGAGGAGGTGGTTGCTTAGCCAAGTTACCACCTACTCTAAAGAAACATTATACAATACATTATAAGATACATTATACGTTACTGTGTGAGCATCTTTATGAAATATTCTGAAGGGTCCTGTAATTCGTTCATATAACCAACATGATAGAAAATCTGACCAATCTCCTTTCTTATTTGCTCTTTTGGAAGTTGTACTCCAAAGCTCATTGAAGGGGAACCTTGTTGTGGTAATTGTGACTTTAAATCTTACAACGAGACTTTAAATCTCAGAATTGCAACTACTTCTCATAATTATATCTTACACTGCAAATTTATATTACAATCTGACTTGTTTTTCACAAAGTAACCTCATACATTGTGAATATAGCTCACAATTGCAAATCTATTTCTTATAATTGTGACTATTAATTGGTCACAATTGTGAGAAAATTGCATTGACAAGATATACAATCATAATAACCTTTGAGTTTTTTGCTCTGAGGTGGAAATATGCTTCTGGCGTTCCTCACAGGAGGTTGTTAAATCTGACACAGAGACACTGAAGATTCAGGATAAACCCCAAATCCAGCATAGAGGGGTTCAGTGAATGTGGTGTTGAATGTGTATACGTGTGTGAGTGTGTGTGTGTCAGAGACGCTGTAGAAGGACAGGGTGCCGGCCGACACGTCCACACACACTCCTACTCTATTAGAGCGGGCTGAAGGGCCAGATACGTCAGTGCTGTTATTATTGAACCAGACAGTGTAATTCATATCAGAACAGTACAGACTCCAGGACTTTTCATTGAGTCCAAACCAACAGTCGATCCCACTTTTCCTGCTGATTTCTTTATATGTCACTGCTACATGACCCGAGCCGCTCCATTTAACCTCCCAGTAACAGCGTCCAGTCAGACTCTCTTTGCACAGAATCTGCTCCCGGTGATCAAATCTCTCTGGATGATCAGGGTACGGCTGATGATCTTTGGCATGCGTCACCGTTCTGTTCTCCTCAGACAGGATGAGTTGAGTGTGTGCTGTGTTTGGATCCAGTGTGAGATCACAAGCATCTGAACACATAAAAAAAAATCAGAAGAACTACGACATCATTAAATATGGAGAGGTGTGTGTGTTTGTGTGTGCAAGAGAAGACTTACATTTTCTCAGTCCTGGTTTGTTTCTGAAATGTCCTCCATGGTCCAAGCTATACATTGACAAAACATACACAAACAAAAATGATTTGTAATGAGAAAAGATTGTTAAATTAGGAGTATGCTAATCTTAACGGGATAGTTCAACCAACAATGAAAATTCTTTGACCATTTACACCATTTACTTTTTAATGAAGCCTGAGAGATTTCTGTCCCTCCATTGAAAGTGCAACAAAACTTTTCAAGATCCAGAAAGGACATAAAAGCATTGTAAAAGTAATTCATATCAGTCAACCAGTTTGAGTCAAGTCAAGTCACCCTCATTTATATAGCGCTTTTAACAATATAGATTGTTTCAAAGCAGCTTTACAGTGATAATAGGAAATTAAAGTAACAGAGATTGTTTTTTCTTTACAGCAGCTCTAGAATAAAGTTATTGTCCAGTTTTTTTTTGTTTGTTTGTTTTTTAGAAAACAAAGTCTTCTGAAAATACACAATCACTTCATAGGATGACACATTTAATTTAGTGAAGTGAAGGCCAAATATGGCAACCTATACTCAGAGTTTGTCCTCTGCATTTAACCCTTCCAAGTTAGTGCACACACATAAGGAGATCAATAGGATGGGGACATAGAAGTGTAGAAATCAAGAGGTCGCCAATTAGCTTGTTAAATTCCGATACAAAAATATTTTGCAAAGTTCTAGCTAAGAGGTTAGTGTTACGTAACGTGATAGGATTCACAAGAAGGATCAGAAAACAGGATATTTTAATTATAAGAAACCAGGAACAAAAACACACTATACATCAACGAGAATGGACGAAGAATGAGGGAGAACACGGTATAAATACAAGGGCAAACAAAGGAACATTAACAGGACACAGGTGAATGAAACGATGATGAATGAGGAGCGGGAAAACTAGGTCACAGGACTGAACCAAAAACCCAAAGAAGGGGGAAACACAAAACCTACATGTAATAGAACGCCCCCTCCCAAAAGGCGCGTCCTCATGCCGTATTACATCAAAAGGGGTGGGAGGGCGGCCATGGCGGAGACTACCCTTTAGGCGGCCATGGCGGAGAGGACCCTTTAGGCGGCCATGGCGGAGGGGACCGTTTGGGCGGCCGTGGCGGAGATGACCATTCGGGTGGCCACGGCGGAGAGGACCCTTTGGGCGGCCGTGGCAAAGACGACCTTCTGGGCGGCCACGGCGGAGACGTATAGCACCCCCCCCAAATTTTCTTGGGTGGAACTATGGACTCAGGGACAGGCTCAGGGACAGGTTCAGGGACTGGCTCAGGGGGCGTGACGGCGGTGGCATGACGTGAACAAACAGTCTCTGGCTCGGCCGGCATGACACAAACAGTCTCCAGCTCGGCCGGCATGACGTGACGCGCAGGCTCGGGAGGGGTGACGTGGAGCGCAGGCATGACGTGAAGATCAGGCTGATCAGGCATGATGTGAAGATCACACTTAACATGAAGATCAGGCTGGACAGGCATGACGTGAAAACCAGGCATGATGTGAAGATCAGGCTGGCCAGGTGTGACGTAAAGATCAGGCTGGACAGGCATGACGTGAAGAGACTCAGCAGTGGTGACCATCTTATAAGAAGGTTCTGGAATGGTGGTCACGGCGGAGCGAGACCCCGGAAAGGTGGTCTCGGTGGAACGGGACCCTGGAAAGGTGGTCTCGACGGGACGAGACTCTGGACGGGTGGTCTCTTTTTCTTGGCTGTTGGAAATGGCCTATTGTAAATTGAGACCCACAATGGAATAGTACCCACTCGATGAAAGCCTCAAAGTTCTCTTCCGGTCCCACACCGGGCAGGCGTGCCTTCGTCTCCGCATTGAGGCCTGTGAGATAAAAGACACTCAATGACAGATTGGAGAAGAAGGTCAGGCACACCAGGGAGAGATATGCTGTGGTGTGGGCCTCGAGAGAGTGCTGGCCTTGCTCCAAAAGGATGAGCTGAACATCGGAATCCGGGATATCCGGGGTACGTTCTTTAGGTCCGTTCTTCTGTTACGTAACGTGATAGGATTCACGAGAACGATCAGGAAACAGGATATTTTAATTATAAGAAACCAGGAACAAAAACACGCTATACATCAACGAGAACGGTCGAAGAATGAGGGAGAACACAGGGTATAAATACAAGGGACAGGACACAGGTGAATGAAATGATGATGAATGAGGAGCTGGAAAACTAGGTCACAGGACTGAACCGAAAACACAAAGAAGGGGGAAACAGAACCTACATGTAACAGTTAGAAGGTATTCTACCAATTTAATAGGAGAGGATCAAAATGGTTTCATACAACACAGGCAAGAATTTCATAATGTTCAAAGAGTCCTAAATATTCTCCTTGAACAGAAGAATGAATGAGATACTGTTCTACTATCATTGGATGCCGAAAAGGCATTTGATAGGGTTGAATGGTCTTATTTGTTTGATTTGTTGTCTAGATTTGGGTTTGGTGAAAGGTATTGCAAGTGGGTTACGTAACTTTATAATAGTCCTACAGCAGAAATGTTGACAAATAATATGGTTTCAAAACCATTTAACATATCAAAAGATACCAACATACCAAGCATTAGACTGCCCGACTAATTACTATTTCTTTCAGCTCTTCTTACTGACAGCGTTAATGCAGGTACGTACATTTGATTTGGTGCTTATGCTTCCAACTCTTGTTTCGTGTGTCTGCTTTAGGTGCGAACTCTTAGCAGTTCTGCAGCAGACATTTTGATGTGCACTATGATTTCAGCGCTACCAAACATTAGTCTGCCCAAATTAATTACTATTTCAGCTCCGTTGCTGCTTTGAGCTGGAACAAATGAGTGGATGAGTTCACGTATTAAGAATATTTCCTATGGCAAACTGATTTAACACTAATGTCATAGTGCCTCAGGCTTTAGGGTGAGCAGAGGGTTTTTCCTATCTCTCTCTGTTTTCTCTTGCCTGATAGTGGTGATTTTTGTCAATGGGACAGCTATTTCACTGTCATCAGCCTCTTTCTGTTCAATTGTTTTGGCGCTTATGCTACCAAGCACTCGCTCATGCGACTGGCTGTTTCTATGAGCTGGCTCTGAGGAGTTCAGCTGCACACATTTATTGTGCAACATAGTGTTTAGCACTTCATGCTACAACACTATTTTGCACGCCTAATTACTCTATTCCTGTCAGCCCAACTGGAAATGCATTGAGCTGAACAATTGTGTGAATAAGTTCATGCATAAGAGTAATTTTTCTTATGGCAAGCTATTTTAGTGCTCACCATGGTCAGCCTCACTTAATGTGATTGGTGAGGCGCTTATGCTACCAACACTCATTTCACATGACTTGCTGCATTTACGTGCTGCAGTATACATCTTCGTGCACTATATGGTTGCCAATTCGTGCTAGCAAACAGTGATTTGCATGACTAATTACTCGGTTCTTGTCAGCCCCGCTGTTGTGTTGAGCTGGAACTTTTGCATGAATATGTTTGCGCTTAAGAGTAACTTCCTATGGCAACGTCTAAGTGTGTTTGCCTCTCTCTCAGCTGTTCTGCCGTTTGTTGCGTTCGGACCAATTGTAATCATTCTCCGCGCCTTAGGTTTCGGGACCTTAAGGCCGTGTGTGCAGGGCCTATGTCGGTATCCAAGCTCCCACCTCTGTGGTTGGACCCCTATAAGCTTCTACAGTGATCACCCATTTCGGAAGAAATGCTGTCACAAGAAATATCCTGGTTTGCTTCCGATTTGGACTTGCGTCACCTAAATCTTTTGTTTGGAGTAAGCAAATTCGAAATGCTGACATTGAAGTCCATCTTGTCTCATTCCAAACTGGAAATTGGTTCATGACCATCGATCTAAGGATGCGTTTGTGGCGAGCAGGACGAGGCAAAGGGCCTGCTCACCACATACGCATCCTTAGATCGATGGTCATGAACCAAAGCGTACCTCCACATCCAGATTGTCAAGAGACACGGGAAGTTCCTCAGGTTCGCTTTTGGAGCAAAGTTTGATAATATTGCATTCTTGGCCCCACGGACGCTCTCCAATGAGTCTCCTTCATATGAGACCATTTCTGTGATGGTTAAAGTTGAGAGGAATTCGTGCTCCTTGTGGGCTCAAGACAGGTTTCTTTTGCTGAGAGCAATTTACGTTCCAGGGGACTTGAAAACTCGACACAGTGCCCCGTGTGGTTCTCCCCGTCTCATCCGATGCCTCTGGGTATAGATGCCTTTGCTCAAATGTGGGATTTGAGACATTATGCATTCCCTGGTGGAGGGGTCCCCTTGGCAGATTCCTATCAGGAGAGATCTGTTGTCTCATCTCCAGGGCAGGATTTGGCATCCTCGAGCCGAAATATGGAGGCTGTGGCCGATCATGGGGAATCGCTAGCGACAGGGGCGTCTGTTCTTACCGCTAATGTTCGGGAGACCATTGATAATGCTTTTGCACCTTCTACTAGACGGCTGTATTTTTCTAAGTGGGAGGTCTCTGGCCTCGTTCAGACTGTCAGTCGAAATCCGATTTTAATGCAAATCTGATTGTAATCCAAGTGTGAACAGTTAAAAATCACATGAAATTTGGTCTTTACAAATCTTTTTCAAGCTACATTCATATGTGGTTTGAAATCCTATTTAAATCGCATTTCTGGAAATCTGTCTCAGTCTGAACAATCTGATCGGATTTTGCGTGGTTTATGTGATTTTCTGAAACCACGTCATACATAAATGTCAGAAGTTTGACATTTATGTATTAAAGAAAAAGTTAATCGAGTAAAAAAAAAAAAAACAGTTAAGGGAGAGTTCCTTGTTGGGCAAGATCTGGCAGTGCTTAGCTTGGCGTGTGTGGTATATCGTTCCCATTGCATCATCGCTATGCAACGTCGAGTCTTAATGAATGGGGTCTACTCAAGATGAGCTTGTTATAAATACTGGAGCACCACAAGGCTGTGTGTTGTCACCTTTGCTGTTTTCAATTTATATAAATGACATGACTGTGCACAGCACCAATGTTAGTTTACTTAAATATGCTGATGACATGGCCTTGGTAGGAC